GTCTTATCTCAAAAGTAGACATAGCCTACACTGCTTTGGTTTGGTGTGTTTTACGGCATATCAAGCTCAATAGCTTATTCAGTGCTGACAAGATTTTTATTGCTGGTAATTTTTTTCTTTTTTTTTCAAAAATGTATTGCTGGTAATTTTTCTTTTTTTAAATGTATAGCTGGTAATTTTTAAAAAAATTTATTATTGGTAATATTTTTTACAAAGTATTTCTGGTATTAAAACCTATTTTTACTCTTTCATAGTGTTTTGACCCTAATTTGGGGGTTAACTATTTGCCCATGGCTGGGACCCTAACAGGAGCTACCACCACGGATCAGAGTAGATCAGTGAACACCGGCAATTAAGAAGTAATCAAAACCTCTTGATCACAGGCCTTGCTGTTCGACGTAGTTTATCGTCTAATCCAGGACGCGGATGTAATTTTAATCATACCCAGGACGGCCTATATTGGTCTAACATTCTGCGATAGGGTAAAATGAGTTATACCTGCACCTTGACCATTGTATTTGTTACTAACTGGGTGTTCTAGACTCGTGGCCTTCAGCCAGGATTAGTATATCCCGATAAGTTTATGTATCCAGGATATATATATATATATATATATATATATATATATATATTCAAGTCCATGAGCATTTACTTGTTTCGGGGATAAGTAAATATTCATTGTTTATATTTGAGCCATAAATTTCGTGAGAGAAACTTTTTAGCGGTTTTTGATCGGTTGATAAGTAGGCGTCTTATATTCTATCAAATACTTTTCAAATCTTTTAGATTGACAGTCACTCATGGAGAAATATTCAACCACAATATATATATATATATATATATATATATATATATATATATATATATATATATATATTTGCCCAATTTATATATTTCTCATTTGGATTTACAGATATTGTCATTTATATCTTAGTCTTTAAGAATTTACTTGGCTCAAGGATATATACGTAATTGGTACCAATTTGTCGCCATAATTTGGTACCCAGCATAGAACCTCGTCTTGTAGACCAATTTGCCACTGTTAAGATTCTGATTAAAACAGTAATTGCACCAACCATAACATTCTGTCAGAACAAACTAATCGATATTTAAAAAAAAAAAAGAAGGAGCGCCTTCTTCGGTTCGTTTCTCCCTAAGAGATTCACATTTGTACTGCCCTTAGCCAAACTAAGTTACGCTTTTATAATGGCTAAAACATTAAATAACTCGATTCATCGACTTAAATCGCTTCGTCAGATTGAGACATTTACATGGATGCCATGCATGTCGCCAAAACCATTCTAAAATATCGAAACTATCAAATCTAAATGGAACCGTTTTTTTTAAAGATCAATGGTTAAAAAAGGTTTTGTGCATTTAACCTTGTGGACTGGTGCATCAGAATCACAATCAAAGAACAGTACCAAATAACAGAAGCCACATCACAAGAAAACTTTCAACAGCAGAAACAACAAATAAATATATTACATGTAAATAATGATATATTGAATGTGTTGATGCTTCACGCTGCTACAAATATAATGTTAGAGCGTCAACTTCATCGATACTAGAAAGAGCGATAACACCGACTCGGTCTCCTCAAAAATAAAGAAGAGACTGTGTTTCTACAGAAGTATGTTAAGGATACATTGAACCGGACATGTGAGCAACGATGAGGTCTTAGAGAGAATACAAACAAAGAAGAGGCTTATACTTAACATCAGAAAGAGGCAACTGAAGTTTCTGGGACACATAATGAGGAAGGAGGGTCTGGAGACTCTGATACTCACAAGTCGAATAGAGAGAAAGAGAGACAAGGAAAAACAACGAATGACATGCCTGGGCGGGCTTAAGCAAGTGGATGACAGAACGTGGTCTGGGGGAGGGAGCAGACAGAAGGAAGGATAGATAATTAATATATATATATATATATATTATATATATATATATATATATATATATATATATATATATATATAGCAGGATACGTACCTGTGTCTTTCTGGGTAGAGGCAGCTACACTTAAATCCGATACGCTCTGAAATACCGAGAACTAAATAATCTGTTGGATTAATAAAAAATCCATTACTTTCTCTATAATTCGCTTTGTTTACGTTTGACAGATTTGAAAAATTTCTGAAGATCTATGAAGATATTTACAGTTGTGGACATAATTATTCAGCTCCGCTTCCATAATTACAAATAAAGGCTGTAATATCTCAAATTTTCAGGTCAATTTTTCACTCATGATGAAATAATGAATTTGAAATAATATGCAGTGAAGATGAAGAAGAGACTCGAGCCGACGTGGTTCTACAGAAGGATGATGAGAATACATTGAACCGAACATGTGAGCAACGATGAGGTCTTAGAGAAAATGTAAACAATGAGGAGGCTTATACTTAACACCAGGAAGAGGCAGCTGAAGTTTCTGGGACACATAATGAGGAAGGAGGGTCTGGAGGACCTGACACTAACAAGTCGAATAGAGGGAAAGAGA